AAAAGAGTTCAGCATCTAATATTATGTAACGGAAAAAATATATCTGTATGAGAAATTTGAATTTAATATAAAATTATAGAATAAAAAATATTTAAAATTATAAAATATATGTATAGTTGATAAAAAATAATTTAAATAAAAATAAGAAATGACGAATTTATACTATAAAAGAATATTTATTAAAATTTAAACTTATAAAAGTAATACAAAAAGAGAAAAAAAAATCCGTACAAATATTTTTATTTAAAAATATTTAACATAAGTATTTTGAATGTACATGTATCACCAATTTAAAAAAGTATATGAAAATTATAAATTAGTACAAAAGAATTTAAATTTTAAATTTAAATAAAAATAAAACGACCTCTATGTTTCTGTAAAAAAAATTATAAAAATTTAGTAAGTATAAAAATGAAAATTTTAATTAAGTATATAAGAAAGAAATTAAACTTTCATTTTTTTTATTACAAGAATATATTTAACACAATTTTTTATGTCGTGAATGAATAACTAAAAACTATTACATGGAAAAAGTGCACAACCTTCTATGGATGTTTTTCTCTACTTTCTGTATGAAAAATTATTAAGTCTTTTAATAAAATTTATTATTATATCTATTGGGTGAGAAAATATTTAATATTTAAACTTTAAACTTTTTAAATTTGAATTTTGAACTTGATAGGTGAAGAAAGAGTTCAACAATTAATGTTTTTGCAGTGGAAAATGGACATATATAATAAATTTGAATTTGATATAAAATTATAGATTAAACAAAAAATCTTACTTAAAAATAAAAAAATATATTTATAGTTGATAAAAATAATTTAAATTTGAAATTTAAACTTCATGGGTGGGAAAAAAAAGTTTAAAATTTTGGTTGTTAAATAACCATATTAATATCATACTACTTTTTGCATAGATGATTGTTAAGCCTATTAATAATACCACAACTTTCTGCATCAAAAATTGTTAAACCTATAAATAATATTTTGTTAAGCCTATTAATAATTATTATGTAATTAAACTAATGAATAGTATTTTAATATTACCCTATTCAACTATAAAGTGTTTGATAGAATATTAAACGTACGAACTCAAATTTTTTCTAACTCTTTATCTCTTATATATGTCACAAATACAAAGACCACAAAGAGTTGATTTAAAGGCAACTGTAAAAAATACAGATATATAGTAATCTAGATGCAATTATAAGAACAATTTTGTGTTGATAAATATAAAAACATATTACATGATAATATAAAATGCTAACAGTTAGAGGTGACAAACTGGGTTAGCCCGGAGGGCCAGCCCACCAACTTATTTTTATAATTAAATTGAAATTTCATCATTATTCTTTTATAATTAAATTCCTAAATCTGATTTCAGTCATAAAATTCAAAATACTAAGGACACAAATCCTTGCAAGAAAATTATTATTTACATAAAATGTTGATAGTTAAATATTGCAAACTGGGCTTGGCCCGAGGGCCTGCCCGCCCTGCCTGCCAACAAGTTTTTATAATTAAATTAATATTCCACTATTCTTATTTTATAATTAAATTTCTAAATCTGATTTCAATTTTTGTAAATACAAATTAGTAAAATTTTAAATACTAACGACACAAATTCTTGCAAAAAAATAATTATTTCTTATTATTTTGTAAATCTAATTGTAATAAATGAAAGTTCATCTCTAAGATAAAATATAAAAACCTAGACGCAACTATAAGAGCTTTTTTTGTGGATAAATATAAAAATCTATTACATGCTGATACTTAGAGGTGGAAAACTGGGCTCTGTCCGGAGGGCCGGCCCACCAACATATTTTTATAATTAAATTAAAATTTCATCCTTCTTTTTTTATAATAAAATTCATAAATTTTTATAAATATAAATTTGTAAAATTCCAAATACTAACGACACAAATCCTTGCAAAAATAATTATTTATTATTATTTTTTAAATGTGATTGTAATAAATGAAAGTTCATATTTGAAATAAAATATAAAAATCTAAATGTGACTATAAGAACTTTTTGTGTGGATAAATATAAAAACCTATTACATGCTGATAGTTAGATGCTATGTAGCATGTAGTTGCTGCTAGTGCTAATATACTAGCACAAATTTTATTTTTTTAATTCATAACACTTCTTTTGATTATAATATTGCTGTGGTTTAAAAGTTATTAGCCCGGTTCGGTTATCCACCCTTTTAGAAGATATTGACATTTATAAATCAAAATTTTCAATTCATTTTTTCATTTTACTTTTTTGTATAAAGTTAGGTAGAGGATGTGTATTAGAACCTAAGTTTATATCATTACTTATAAAGAAAAAATTCTATTACACAAATTTAAGTGTATAGAAATAAATAAGAATACTCATTATGGCCTATATATCTCAATAACCCTAAATAAACTTACATAACATAATTAATTTGTTTCACTATATATGGAGGATGCAAATCCACTCCCATTTCCAAAATTTCAATTCAATTACAAATTAGTACTTGAATACCCATGAACATTTTTCTCTCGTTAATTTGTATCTTATATAACCTATAAAAGACAATATAGCATTATTTGGGGTGGGTCTTCCTTGTATCTCTACCTACCAACTCACGTCGGTAAGTCTTTTTCAAGAATGATATCAATCAGATTAATTGCACTTGACTCATTTGGAGCTAACCACATAGTCAACACTGAATAAAGACACGAAAGAATATGTACCAAAAAAAAAAAACACCAAGGAATGAAAGAGAAACACAATTTTAGCTTGCAGTATTCATGTCAGTAGAAAAAAGTGATTATCACCTTGAAGGAATTAGCACCTTCATATGCTAATTCATCATTAACCATAACAAAATGAGATTTCTTCAAGAACTGCAATCAAGTAGCATAAGCATTTAGTTAATAAAATATTTTCTTCAATGAACATTATATATAAGCTACATAGCATTGTGACAACATTAGAACTCACAGCTCTTAAATGCAGATTAAGATTGCAAACGACGAAAATTCTCCTTGCAGATGTAAAACACCATGTTAGAATGACAGAAACTTTGATAGAAACAAGGGAGGAAGCCATAAAAATAACAACAAATACATGGTGTGTAATAATATAATAATATGATATAATACAATTGACAAATAATTAATTCTTAATTTACATTCATAATAGACAATTGAATTTCAATTTTAATATATAATTATATTATAAAATATTTCTTAGATATTTGAATACTTATCCTGGAATAAAGTTTTTAATTTATTATAATTCAATACACTAGGAAAAATAAATTCAAAATATAATTTACAAGGTCAAACATCATATGGGATCAGATTATGATGCACCTAAGATTGGTTTAGAAACACAATTTATTATTTTATTGTTAGTTGGGGGCTTTTAATAATTGTTAATTTTTACTCTCTTTTTTATTTCTCTTTTTTATATTTTATTTAACTAAAAAAACAACCAAATAACAATAGGGTTCTCCATGTCTTATATAGGGAGAACAAAATAATATTAAAGCAGTATGTCATTGGCTAAATAGAACGAAAGACTGAACAAAAGGATTTTGAAAAAAAATTATTTCTCTTTTCTATATTTTATTTAACCAAAAAAATAAGCAAATAACAATAGGATTCTCCATACCCAAAATAAAATAAAAATAAAACCGATCCAATCCTTTCGGTTTGATCATATAAAAAAATTTTTTCATTCACAATGAAAAGATATTGTGCAAATTACATCTTTGTATATATTGGCTTTGTAATTTTATTTTATTTTGAAATACAAAAGCATTAGTAAACTATAATATAATTTTTTTTTTGGGCAATGACAAAATAAAATTTTATTGATGAGATGTGACTAGAGAATGGATTAATGAGTCTTTGGTTTAGAAACTTTTGAATGAAAAAACCCAAGTAAATAATATATTGGATCTAACGATTATTAAAAATTGATCCAATCCAATTAAAATTTGTGGTTTTTTTTCGGTTTTCGGTTTTTCGGTTTTTCAGTTTTTATAATTAAAAGATATATTGCACAATCATCGCACGCTCAAACAAAATCAGAGAAATAACAACAAAAGTAAATAACTAACGATTATTGAAAAGTCTTAAGCTATGGAATAAACTTAAAAAGCCCAAAATGACACACACAAAAGAACACATGAATATTTCTAAGTTAATCTTAAATGCATCATACTGTATAAAAATCAGGCTGGACTGTATAGCAACAAAATATAGAAATTAGAAAACAAGTAAGAATATAGAAAGAAAAATTTAAATGGGGCCAATCAATAAAAAGTTTAAAACAGAAATAATTCTCAGAGTCTGATTTATTGCGTTGGGTTAAATCAGAATCAATCAAATATTATTCCTATTTATAATTCGATCTGATCAAATTATTTTTATATATAGACATTAACAAATACATAAAGTGTATAGAAATCATTTCAATACTATATAGAAGTGGTAACATAGGTAAATAAAAAGGAACTTAAGAATGACAGGGTGCTTGAGTGTGGCCTGAACCTATTCAGTGGACTAAATTAATGGGAGACAATCCTCATAACTCAGGACACAAGATGTGCTAATACAATCCATTTTTATCATTTAATTTTAAAAATTGTAATTAAAGGCCCAAATTACACTGTGACCACAATTATTTATTTATTACTCACTAACTAGACATTTAATGCCAAAATTATAAGACGTCTACCCATAATGTATCATAATGATTTTATGTAACAGTTAACCTAATGAAATATAACAGCCCATTTTTCTAGTTTTGTTTTCTTTTGAAATTTCATGTCAATTTCAAATGGCAAATGAATATAACAGTTGTTGGTTTTTGTCACAAATTTATTACCTTTTTTCCTGCTTACAAATATAACTGAGCCATTACTCATTGTGGGTTCAAATTCAGGTGCAAAATTCAGCTTCTCTACAAAGAACAAAAGAGGCAAACAAATTAAGCATACAAAGAAGAGCACAATGACTTGGCTTGTAAGGGACTGGGGTTCATGTTTCAAAGCTTGCATGTTGCCTATAGGTAAACCTTAACAAATGAGAATTCTGTTTTATGTTTTATCTTTTTTCTTGATTTAGTATCTTAACATTTTAAGAACATCACAAAGGTACAAACTTTCACTTTTCATAGTCAATCTCACACCATATTCTCACCTGATTTTTCTTGAATTCTCAGCAGATGATCATGAACTGGCTTCATCCCATCGTGTGCCAGAGAGAAACATATCATTTACCAGGGAAAAAAAGAAGAGATTTAAGAGTATCTATAACAACAAAATGCCAAAGCCAAGCAAAAAATGCAACAACAAGAGACAGCTAAACAATCCAATGACAAAGAATAAAGATGGGGTTCCTGTTGGAAACAGACATGATGATCCAAGTTTGTCTCTCTCAACAGATGAAGATTACATAGTGTTCTGCGTTGGAGAGAATGATGCATTTGATGTAGTGAAAGATGACAAACATGTCATGTCTGAGGCTCGGATCAGAGATCCCAATGCTATGCATAAAAATTCAAGTCCTGTGAATCGTAAGGTATGCAAACTACTGTCATTTCCTCATGAGAATTGGTCATCAGCAGAAAATGAATGATCTAAGTTGAATTCTCTGTGTGTTACTTTTTGTCACTGAAATGCAGCTGAAATATTGTGAGGATGTAGAACAAGTTAGTGACTTGAACATAAATGAGAAAAGACCAAATGCAAATCAGCAGGATACTGATCAAGACGATCAATATTATATAATCCATTTAGAAGAGGTGCATACAATATTATATAATGTTTGAGTGCTGCAACAACTCTTTTTTTTGTTTGTTTGTTAATGTACATGTTTCATTTCCTTGCAGGACAAGAAAGAAGAAATGGTATACAATGGTTCACAGCAACATGCAGACAGCATTAGAAGGGAATGCCATATTGTGGAAATTGAAGAACTTGAGATGGTATCTGCTGAAGAATCAAGGAACTCTGACCAATCTGAAGACAGTAGTAATACTGGCTCTTTTACATTCCCTGTGTAAGTTAATTTTATTAGTGTTTAAATTTTTATTGGATTTTTTGTTAAAGCATGCATGTGTAATGGTGAATGTGGAAGCATAGTACTACTTTAATGTTACGAAGGACTCACTGGTTTTCTTGAAAAACACAGGTTAGGTTGGGAAAGGATTGGAAGCCCTGAAAGAATGCCAAAGTCAGAAGGTTTGCACCTAAAGAAGCAGAGGGGCCTATGTGATAGATTTCAGTGTTGTAGATTCTGATGGCTGCACAATATTCTTTTATTTCTTAATTTTTGTCTCCAAGATTAAATTCTTATGTCCAGAGATTACAATTTCTTTTGCTTTTCAGTTTTAATATGTAGGAACAAAGTTCCACACCCACCCCGCAAATGAATGGATTTTATTTGAATGGACTTGTTTTCAAATAAAACTTCTCCAAATTTGAATGGATTATTTTATTTGATTTTATTCAAATTAACTGTTTTGATCTTTGATTGATTGCCAGAGATTCATTTGTAAAAATTTCCTTTAATTTACGCGTATTTAACTGATAGAGCTTATTTAAGTTTAATTATTTTATTATTTTAGGTGTATTTCATGTTAATTTACAATTAGTCATACTTTAATTTTTAAAGAAGTTTTTTTTTTCTTTTAAGAATATTTAATGCTGATTGAATTTTAATAGCATATCTTTAATTTTTTTTCTTTTTTGAAAATTTATTTAATTATAATTAATTTGTAATATGATTATGATGTTTAAGATTATGTATGCCGTAGTATTTTTCTTTCAAATTTTACAACTCGCAAACTTTGTAAAAAAAAACTCAAAATAAACACACTAAAATAGAAATTAAAAGGGAAAACTTATTTACATAGGGAAAACTTATTTAACGTGAACTGAAAAAAGAAAAGTAGAGTTTCAATTTGAATTAACTTAAAATTTCTTTTGTTTCTGCTTTCAATTTTTTAGTATGTAGGAACAAAGTTTCAACCACCACCCCAAACAAAAGAATTTTGGAATAAAGGCTTATGTCTAACCCAAAACACTTGATTAAGGATTAAATTGGGAAATTAAATAATCTATTAATTAAAAAAAATGAAAACTAAATAAAAACAGAAACTAAATGAAAACGAAACTAAATAAAAACAAGAACTAAATAAAAATGAGAACTAAATATGGGAGGTTTTAATACGATTAGATTTTAAAAGGAGAAATTAAATCAAGATGTAAAAACGAAAATTATCAATTTAAAAATAACCAATCCAGAATTGGGATTTTAGATATCCATCCTTAGAAAATAGTTATCAAATTGTGATTGACCCTAAATGAATCAGAATCTCTGCATTCGTTTAGTAACTCTCTCTAAATAATGAGAAATCTTTTTTTAGCATCTCTTCTCTTTATAAGTGTAAGTTAGGTCAAACAGATTTTAAGGAAATTCTTATAATAAAAAAGATATTTTTTTTTATAATGAAGAAAAAAGCCAAAAGCTCCTAGGATGCTTTTCTTAAGTTGTATAACTTTTTTTGAAATGTGTGCTTTTTTTCAAAATAAATAGTTTTTAAATAACTTTCAAGCTAAAAAATTTATATAATCATCGATCGGTTTGTAGCTTTATTTTTAAAGATATTTTTTTTTTTACCTTTAGCTTGAAAGTAACTTTTTATTTAAAGGGAAAAACAAGTGTCAAACAAACTTCAAGAGTAAACATTAAAAATAAATAAATATTTTTACATGGCAAATTGCTTGCCTTCATGGAGAGCAAAATAGTTGTAGTATTGTTACCATATATATATATATATATAGATCATTTGACTCAAACATTAAGGTGGCTTGTACAAAATAAAGAATCCATTAAATGGTCATAAAAGCAAATAAATGAAAATTAGAGAAAATTAATTTGGTATGAACTCAATAACCCTGTGTGGAGGGTACAGCCATAAGCATACGTCAAATGGGTTTTTTAAAACACCTTCAAATGTCTACCCATCACTCTCGATCATAACGCAAGGTTGCATATAATCTCTTTTACTAAAGGAATAGAATTTTATCAAATAAAGAATAGGCTTTCAACTTTTCATTAGAGTTTATACAAAATCAGAAGCACAAATATCTCCTGGCCACATTATAAAATAATTCAGATAGTAAATAGCGCAAAATCCACCTTGTGGCTATTATACGAAGCACATAGGGATGTAGGAAACCAAAAGACAACTTGGGTACAAAAGGGAAAATATACATATACAAGTATAATATAACAAACTTTGAGTCATTCGTAACAGTAACAGTTTGCCGATGTGAACAGTAACTGCGGCTCCCACATGAATATAACCACTGCCATTCAGAATCAGCTACTAGAAGAAAACTTGCTGAATGCCACTTCAAAGAGAAACCAAAAACAGTCAGGTCATGATTTACTCTTGTGCTTTTGAAAACCCGATGGAAAGAAGGTCTGGTAAAATTCGGACTTCAGTTAGACCCGCGAGGAAACATTTTCACCTCATTCAACAAGCTCTAGTTTTTTACTCTATTACATAAAATGGTACAAATTCTTATATTTGTTCACAAACAGCCATGTTAACAAATAAATTTCTCTCTCACACACAGGATAAGTGCTTCACCGCTTGATACTAAAGGACCTAGAGTGTAAATATGTTAAATAAAACTAGTAAAATCACAGGTTGGAGTTTTTGGATTTGAAAACAAGTGACTGAAGATGTAACCTAGCATTGGCAGCAGCAGCAATTGATTCTTCATCTCGTTTTTCCTTGGTAACAGCAACAGCAGCAATATAAGCTTTTCTTGCTTCTTCCATTTTCTGCTGTTCCATCTCGTCCAAATCATCCTGTTCAACCAGAGATATTTACTTGAAAAGGTCAACATCCAAGGATTAGATATTTCTGCATACTTGCACAATTATGTTCTATAAAACAATGGCATACATTAATCAGACAAGTTTAATCTCATAATATGCCATTCGTTAATCCACTTCTTTACCAGATACCCTCTCCTCAGAGAAAGTAAGTTATAGGAAGTATGAAGAGAATCTACAAATGTTGAATCACTGAATTTGCATGCACGCATGCACAAGTGGAAGCCATGCACAAAGGTTTTCTTTTGGGTGAAAGCCATTCAAATCATAGTTGTGTTGAAATTTTTACCATATATAGCAACATGTGCAAAAATATGCTGCGCATATTGATTTGAAAAACGTTCAAAAACTCACAATACTAGGCAGGTAATTGAAATCGTAAGGCTTGGTGTCATAATTATCAGTGTATTTAGCAGTGTCAGTTTTTGTCAAGCCTTCAAGCAACAAAGTAAATGATGAAATATCTGCTTGCATGGAATCTAGCTCATCTTGGAGTTTCTCCACTTTCTTGTTGGATGTCATCGCTTCCCATTGTATCTTTTCAAGTGCAGCTTGCTTGTCTGCAAGCTTAATCTGTGGAAAAGGAGACTTGTTAACTTGTGAGAAGAAAAATTTCAAAAATTCCACCCAAAAGAAATGAACATTTTCTCCCCCTTTATTGTTCATAAAATCTTGAAATAGGATAAAGCAGTACAAGATCTGAGCACAACATTTTAATTTCAATGCATTCTGATTAAGATTAAGGTTTCATAAAGTCCAAAAATAATCTATAGTAACAATTTCAGCGGGGCACAACACTTCAAATTTAACCATACTCAAAGTTTCAAAGAATAGCACTAATCTTGAGTGGAATCAATACAAGAAGAAAACTGTGTCAAAGTTGAACTCATTGCAACTGTGAAGCCTTCCAACATGCTCTATGCATACACCAACTTAAATACATTAGATTTGCAGAATCCAACTTTCAACAACTATCAGAAGCCATGCCTATATGTTCCAGAGATGTGTGAAGAGTATGTATTAAATGAAAAGGTACTGCTAGTTGTAAGAGATGAACCCTGCTTACATTGTAAAAGATTTTGCAACTCCTTGTGCCAAATTATTGATGAAAAAAACATAAGAAATAGATGAGTACCTTAGTATCAGAGAGCAGTTCTTGAGTATACTTTAGTAAATTGTCCTTTTCTGAAGCCTGGTGTTTCAATTCATCGAGTTTTGCATTAAAAGCATTCAGCTGGTCTCTTGAATTTTCAGCTGACTTTAAAAGTTCATCTTTCTCCCATAACTTGTTCTGCAGTTCCTCTAACTGCTCCTTCAATATAGCTAATTCTTCTCCGTCCTTTTCTGGTTTCAAAGCTCTTGAAGAAAACATAGACAAGCTATCGGCATCAGAATTATTGCTGCCATTTTTGCCTTGTTCTTTTTCTCCATGGTCCCTTTTCTTTTTGGCGGGAATAGATTGAGAAACGTTCCTGCTTTTTGAATCTGTTGCCTACCAGAGGATGTAAATGGTTCAGTATGATGTGATGATCTTCACAAAGGAATATCACTCACAGTGCTCTGTGCGAAGCAAATTTAACAGTCATATGAGAAATTATTCTTTTGAAAGATTAGTTTTAGATTGCCATGTGAACAGGACAAAGGGAAAAAACTAAAATAATGATAACAATAATAATGAGAAACTTCTATCTAGTATAAGAAAGTGATGCAGTTATTTGTAAAATTAAACTCGAACGCTCCAAAGTAAGAATGAAGCACAGTGTACTTGAGCTACATGATACAGACAATTTATGCTCAGTCAGATAAATATCCAGTAAAACTTCTCTTGTAAACCACTGATAACTATGTTCTTTTTTGTGGAAGTTAGAATAACAAAATCTTAACCTCCAGAGGCATACCAATGGGCCTAGCTATCCTTCACTTGTGTTATCTAACATTGTTAAGTCGCATTACAAATAAAAAGAACTTTCTACCAACCATCACAGTGAGGGTTTTTCCAGACTAAAACCATAAAGGGAGTTTATTGTTCAACCCAAGATGAGTGGGTCAAGGTGGTATGCAGTCTAGACCACCTAGGACAAGAATGCTACTTCGAATCTCAAGGATGCAGCTCTTGTAGGGAGGCCACATACCATTGTGCTCCTACAGCCGAATGAGGATAAGTTTCAAGGGTGATTCAAATGAGTTGAACCTATAGGAATACCTCACGGTTTCACAAAAAAAAAAAAAAAAAAAAAAAAAAACAGGAAGCTACCATTCAAACGAAGTGCTTTAAGTAGGTGATAAAGAATGTAAAAGGTTATATAATGCACGGGCATCCATTCTAGGATAGCCAATAATGAAGTGATATTTTTCACAAGACACAAATATTGGAAGTCTAATATAATTCATATTTAATGCCTACATATTACTAGGACTAATACATTATTATTTCAAAGCAAGTGACTGAAGAAACCCATCCCATTTATAACATTCACAAAAATAAGTCATTTACATGAATAACTACATACCAACCCATCCATAAACAACCCGAAAAATCAGACTCACGCACTGTCTTTCCTTTACCCTTCAATCAATCCTCACCACAGGTTGGGCATTCTACGAGAAATTATGCTCAAGAAACTTCTTCGTAAAAAAGGCATACCTTTTTTGTCCATTTAATCAATGGACCTTCGGTCACCGGAACCAAGATGAACCTGCACCATCGCTAAAAGTCAATCACATATTTCGTCCCTTCGATTTCGAGCGGCACCACCACCTCAGTCACCTGTTAACCGTGACTACGGTTGTTGTTGTGATGAATTCATTGTCCAGAGCGGGCGCAACTTCGAACTCAGTGGTCCTTCGTACAAGATCATGTTCTTCTGCCGAAATTTCTGGGAGGATTTTGACAGTGAAGCCATGGAAACCAGATGACATGGACTCCATGGCTTTGCTATCAAAATCCTCCTAGAAATTTTGGCAGAAGAACATGATCTTGTATGGAAGACCACTGAGTTCGAAGTTGTGCCCGTTCTGGACAATGAATTCATCGCAACAACAACCGTAATCACGGTTAGCAGGTGATTGAGGCAGTGGTGCCACTAAAAATTAAAGGGGTGAAGTATGCGATTGACTTTCAACGCATGGTGCAGGTTCATCTTGGTTCTAGTAACCGAAGGTCCATTGCTTGGATGGACCAAAAAGGTACGCCCCTTTTTTCCCAAGAAGTTTCTTGACCATATTTCTCACAAAATGCCCAACCTGTGGTGATGATTGAGATCGCTTTCTTGACCATGATTTCTCGCAGAATGCCCAACCTATGGTAAGGATCAGTCACTTTCTTGACCATGATTTCTTGTAGAATGCCCAACCTGTGGTGAGGATTGATCACAAGGGTAAGAGAAAGATGGTGCGTGAGGGTATTTTTAGGGTTCTTTAAAACGGCAGCGTTTGATATATTTTTGAGTTGAACCTATAGGGATACCTAATGGTTTCACCAAAAAAAGGAAGTTACCATTCAAACAAAGTGCTTTAAGTAGGTGATAAAGAAAGTAAAAGGTTATATAATACACAGGCACCCATTCTAGAGATTATAATGTGAAGAAAGGATAGCCAATAGTGAAGTGATATTTTTCACAAGACACAAAAGATTGGTAGTCTAATATAATTCATATTTAATGCCCACATCTTACTAGGACTAATACATTATTATTTGAAAGCAAGTGATTGAAGAAACGTATCCCATTTATATCATTCACAAAATATGTCATTTACATGAATAACTACATACCAACCCATCCATAAATATGGCCAAATATGAATTTATGATTATGGACACATATGCAACATGTATTTAAGGAGCAACAGAAAGTACTCAATGTGTTCTGATGATAAATACATGCAGGGTTTTATGGAGTCCACTCTTCCAAAGGAAATAACTTAGTTCTGCAATATTTCATATTTAACCTCTATTATGGCTACTATTCATGAACACAACCACAATAGGTAAAATCAAACAACATAAGAAAATGCTAATATTAACATCATAGGCCCAAAATTAGGTTCCTTCAGCATTAGTTCTTCTAGCATACATTCATAATCATAACAGAAGTCTAACCGACCCAACTGGAGTTCATAGAGAAAGAGGAAATAGTAAACAAAAACAGGGTCTGCATCGTTCCAAATCCAACTAAACCAGACCAGTCTGGAGATTGTCATATTTGTAAATTGCTGTAAATTGTATCAAATGAAGGAAATCCTTAGTTGATTGCACAATAACATGCTGAGCCAGATTTAAGAACATTACAATAAACCTAATAAGAACGACATGTGGGGAAAAAACGAGAAAATTCAAATCACGAAAGCGGGGAAAGGTGCTCCGATCTTACTCTTTTAGACAATGATTCTCTTGTAGGTGTCTTGGTGTAGATCATGGAACCACGACGGGTGAATGAACGGCTTGCTTTACGATCCTAATCATAATTAAACAACAGGATTAACAAAATTAACATTGTAATTGAAGAGTTCCACTTGTCACTTGATCACCATATCGTAAACAGGGAAATAAAATAATTTCTAACTTGCTCTAGCTTTTAAGTCACTTAATTTACTAAGTTCGCAATACACAAGCCAATTCCTTAAAGTTCAAATCACATTATTTCCAACTTGTTTCCTTTTCTTCTTCCACACAAAATCAAAATTTTCTCTTTTTTCCCCCCACAGGAACCTAAAAATGCTTTTATTTATTTTTAATTTGAAAAATTTCTTTCCTTTACCCCGAATTTGGAACGAACAAAACTTTAGCAAAGAAAAAATAGAGAAAATAGGAAAAGGGCAAAGAGTTAGATAGAGTGGTTACGATGAGGGACTGAACGAGAGGAACAATCTCGACGAGATCGTTGAAGAGAACGCGATCCATATTGGCATTTGCTGCAGATGCTGCAGCAGTGGAGCTAGCAAGCGAGGATGACGAGTGTTCATGCGCTGAGAGCCAAGAATTTGGGTCACCAAACTCTGAATTCTCTTGCATTTCCACCAAATGCTGCATTTGTTTTAGCGTTTCTCACTCGGATTAATAAGATCAGAGAGAAAAACAGAGCAGAGACTTCGGCTCAGAAGAATAGAAGAGTGCGATGAGAGGAGAGAGAAAGTTAGAGAGAGAATGACTCTGAGGAGACTGCACTTTGAAAATTGCTCGTTTCCATCTCTGCAGGCGAAAACGTAACAACGGATATTCAATTTGGTCATCAACTACTCAAATGACGGATTTACCCCTCGAGCTTAATTTCATAAACAGTTTGTAATTGCAAAACCCGCTAGCAATCTTCAAATAATAATTTTGTTTTTTTTTTAAATCAAATTAACTATTTATTTTTTGGTTAAAACTGGAATTTCCAATTGAACTCTACCGTTTTGTAATCTGCAAGAGTCAAGAGACTCTAGACTATAGAATAATGTAAGTAGCAATGTAGACTCTAGATGTAAGTGGACTGACAAAATTTTTGGTTTCACTTCAACTCCACTTTTGGGCTATAAGCATTTTAGTTTAATTCCTTGGAGAATCTAGGTTCAGATCTTGTGATCAAGTTGGGGTTTTAATTTTCTTCTAATAAAATATTGGTAACTAAAATGAATTGCACTTCTCTTATTTGACCATAATTTTTTCATGGGAAATATTTTTTTTAATGTTGCATAAGACAAACAATTTTGCTTCATACATACATAAAAAATCGGTGGGATTCTCTCTTTTTTATTTTCATTTTTTTTTCTTAGTGGATCTCATCAACTTTTTATGTTATCTCATGCATCAGGAGAAATATATTCCCCTCTTTCCATTTATAATATTTAATTGGGATCAGAATTAAATGGAGAGTGGATTAGAGTCTACTAATTTGGGGTTTATAGGTGGACCAAAAAATTGGATCAGAATCAATAGACTCACAAAATGTGTAATGTACATATTTATATGAAATACATTCATATAAGTAGACCTCTGATCATGGATTAAAAAGCCCATAACTGATCCCATATGACCCAATCCAACCCATCAATTTTTAAACCCTTATTCAGTGGGCTATTTTTTACCCCCAACCCAATCCATTTCGTTCTCTTCTTTTTGTTTCTCAGTGTTGCGCCATCGAATTTAGTGTTCCTTTGTGATGTGTTATTTGTTTCTTCTCTGAAGTTGTAGGTTGCGTTGACGTCGGCGTTTATTGTGCTGAAGTAAAGTGATAAGGAGAATGGCATTCAGAGGGAAGGAGATGATGAAGAAAGTAGTGAGGAAAGTGGGAGAGAACAGTTTGGGTGTAGGAGTGAAGGAATCCTTGGATAAATGCATTCCCCGAAGCAAGATTGTGATGGGTCGTGCCAAACGCGGTCTTTATGCTGGCCGACACATTCAGTTTGGCAATACTGTCAGTGAAGATGGCGGTAACAAGTTTGTATCCACTTCTTGATGCTTTTTATTTCCCCATTTTTGCTGCTTCTTAATTAACAACAAATGTCTCGAAAGTTACATGCTTTAGCTCCTAGTGTTAGATCTTGATTTACAGATTCTGAGTAACAATCTACTGTTTGAAATGGATCGGGTGGTGTTGATGATAATCCCAAATAGTTTCAGCTCAAAGGCTATCTTCTAATTAATTTTGAACTAACTGCATCAAATTCTGAAAACAATTTACTTTTTCTTTCAAATAATGAATTCAGCATGTTGTGTTGTTAATGGGAGATCTTGTGGGGAGGGGACAGCACGGGTTGAAAGGAGAAGTCTGTTGTAATCTTAAAAAGTGTCCCAGGTGGATGTTTGGGAAATGGCACAAGGTGTTTATGGATAAAAGAATAACATTATTTTTATTTGAAAGGAAGAAGAGATTCAAGGATTAAGGGAATAACGTATCTTAATTATATAGAACAAACAAAATTAAAGCAGGGCAGACAAAAGTATCATATTGTCAGCCAATTTTTGCTAAGGTACATAAACTTGTTAGATTTGAAATTTATGTCAAATTCGTAGTCCTAGTCTTTTTGTATGTGCCTTGTGCCTGAATTAATTGGTGTTTTTAAACTGTGTGAGTCTCCCTGCAGATATAATTTGTAATTGCTATAACATATAAAGAGATGAAACGGGATTCTAAATTGATTTGATTGGTAAACAACATCAATATTTATCCATTTATATAAATCAGCCAGATTTGATTTGTTTTGGACCTCAATACTGTTCTAGTAATGGTTCATATCTGAGTCATTCGGTTAATAGTAATTTTTGTTTGTTTCCGAATGTAAGTGCCAAAATGCATTCAAAGCGGCATGATAATTCATATTAATATCAACATCAACGTTTCTTTTAACCCAAACTAGCTAGGGTCAGGATAATTCATATTCATATATTTTATCAAAATTTCTGAAGATGTTTCTGTTATAACTCAGTGTATCTCAAGATTCTCAACAGCATAAGATTAAATATTAATGCTCCAAATTAGAGATTAGAAGAGTTTAAGAGCTGATCATCTTTGGATCCACTAGACATAGAATATCATGGTCCATTCTTATAGGTAGGATTGGTAAAGAGAGATGATTGACTTGCCAGTTGCCTCTTCACTTATTGAGTGAATGGAATCTGATGCATGTTGAATTATGGAAATTCCACTTTTGATTGCGGCAGGTTGCAACCATTAGCTCAAACTGTCAATTTCTTGGACTCTCTCCAATAGGGGCTGATGTGCTAGCTAAATTTTCTTCAATGGACTGTGTGTCAGTGATTGAGTTCTAAACTTCCCTTATTTGACCTCTTTTTGTTGTGGTTCATATCTATGACGATTGTTAGATAATTGGTCTTCTCAATTCATATGATGATTGCCAATGCTTTGGTTTCTTGATGGCTAATGCTATATCCCGCTAGGACACTGCACATGTGTTGGTCTTGGATTTTTAATAATAGTAGTAATTTGTTGGTGGCTACTAAAGTTTGGATTTTGGAAGTACATGTCCTGTTAACAGTTGCCTATATTTGTTGGACTGGATATGGATCCCAAAAGTTCTTCTTGCAGTATTGTGTGATATCTTGCTTGATCTTGTCTATCACAGTAATTACATGATAGTAACAGAATGAGTCTTTTTGTTGGTTTAGTGATTCCAACTCAGTTCAGAACTTATATGTTATCTTTTCGTTGCTTAATTTTGTATTTAGAAGTTGTTTTACCTTTTAATTACGTTATAGAGAATGAAAGGTGAAAAAAAGAAAGAAAAAGACTATAATATTGATGAGAACTTGTTCTTTCTCTGATGGTGTTAATAGGACGAGGAGAACTTGGAAACCTAATGTCCAGGAAAAGCGGCTGTTTAGTTACGTACTAGATCGTCACATTCGTGTTAAAGTCACTACTCATGCCCTTCGCTGCATAGACAAGGTAGGTGGGATTGATGAGTACTTGCTGAAAACTCCTTATCACAAGATGGACACGGAAATTGGCCTCTTCTGGAAGGCAAAGATTGAGAAGCTGTATGAAGAGCTTGGCACGAAGGAGGTTGTATTCTTTTCACCAGAGGATGAAGCGAAGCTTGAACAGGGCTTTAAAGATTTGAAATTATCTGAAAGGGAAGCACGAAAAGAAGTCAGAAGAAAAATGTACGCTGGCGTGAGCAAGCACAAGCTAATTGAGGAAGAAATCTCGAAGGATGTAACAAAACGGGTTCCTTTCTCGTATTTGTTAGCTGCTGACAAGCTCAAAGTTGGAAGTTTTGTTTCTAATTGATGTTATGGCAACTGATATTGACTGTGTAAGCAGTACTAGCCCATAAAGTATGAAACTCTTTATTCTTTGGTCTATATTTGGATCATGTTTGTTTCTTCACTCGTATTCTAATGCTTTAAACTTTTTGTAGTGAGAAGCATAATCTATTGAGCCGAAATAAGAGTTATGTATCTGCTTGGGATCGAGCCTACAAGTTGATGATAGAAACATGTGACATTTACTAGTAAACTGTAAACCTATGTCATCTGTTTGTCATAATGTTTTTATTAATATATCTATATAAATTCAATTCAAGCAGTTCAACTAATTATTCATTAATCCAGTATCTAAACAGAGTCAATTAATTACGGATTCAAATTTAATAACATTCATTGGTACAACAGAAAAAAATTCAACAGAAAAATTTTCATTGATTATGTTTGTTAGAAGTTTTTTATTTGACTTTGTTTTTTCTTTTCAAAAACCAGCAGCACCGCAAAGTCTTTTAAATTTGCTTAACTCATTGCTCACGAAGCCAGCAACAATACTTCTATTCTAATTTCTGAGTAACAAAGTATCTATCTCTGCATGCACATGTTTTTGAGGAATTGACCGTGTTGTCTTCTTTTTTTAGTCTCGTTAGCGGAATCACTTATTTTGAGCTATTGTCTTCTCTTTAATTTTATATCCTTGGATCTGTGAGGGAGTTAGACTTTGAGGAGCATATGAGACTTCCACGTCAAGCATTGCTTAAAGAAAAATTTATCATACTTATTTTTGCTACATAATTTATCATGTTGTAACACAATAAAACATATAAAACTCCTGAATTAGGTATGGTGGATCATGAGGAAGTAAGTTTTTTTTGTTTTGTGTTCTTAGGTATACTTTGTTGGCTTCAGAAAAAAGAAATAGCCATCTTGTTTTGTCATTTACTTGAGCGAAGAAACATGTGGTCATCAACTGGTCCTGGTCTATACTTCTTTCAAACAAAAACACTGCAGTTTGAAATTTGAGAGAATAAGAGAGAGGGATGTTGAAAAAATATATATTATTTACAACCGTTGTAAGCCTGTAACTATTCAATTTAAAAGCAGGGTCATCAAAAATTATTTAATAAAAATTATTTCATAAGATACCCAAATTGATGACTAAATCAAAGTTTGTTTCATTAGTCTTTCAGCGAGATAAAATCAACCTCTAGCCCCCAAACATAATTCTACCTTGAAAGGGAATTTGCCAAAATGATTTCGTCATGGTTCTTCAATTGCAGGAGCCGATGCATGATCTAGGCGTGCTTTTGTGCTGCCTGATGGAAGAATGGTGCAAAACTTATGCTGAACTATTGCACCAACCATGCTACAATGAATGTAAATTTTAATGTAGACAGTGAGCCTAGTGCATTTAGTTTTTTAAAATTTTAGGGAAATTACAAATCCATGCTAGAAGCTTATCCCAAAATTTAAAATCGATGTTACATTACTGTTTGGAAACAATAGCATCTATTGTAATTTTATGATGACGTGTTCCTGTCATTTTTTGTTTTGTAAGATTCAAGTGTAGAAATAAGTTGCAGCCAATGAAATTGTGAAAGTATTGTTAGCTGAAGTGAACACTACTTTAAGGGCATTGAGGGAAAGCAATTTGGATGAGTCAACAAATGAACTGTTAGGTGTGATTAAAACAAAAAATGGTTTAAGAAGAAATAGAGCGAAAAGCTAGGGTTCGGAGCATGAGAATCATCTTGGATATCGCTTGGACTTGAGATTTGGGAGATAGTAGATGTTGAAAATAGACAACACACAAATCGAAAGCGGAAAAGAAAAGAGAGACAGAATAGAAACAGCGATTTACTCTGGTTTACCCAATTTAGGTTACGTTCAGCTTGTCTATACTATATTCACCTCACCGCCACTCGTTACAAGTAACTCGGTTTACAAGGAAAATATAAATAGGATTAGAAAACTCTAACAGCAGCTATTCATGGACCCAAGCCCAAACTGTCAAGAAAATTACAATAAAACAGATGCCCACAATAGTACCTAGCATCTACGGGCTTGGGGACGCTGCCCCCCAGATAATTAAGGCATTCATAGTATGCGAAGTATGAGTCATACCCAACAGTAGAAACTCTCTAATAGAGACTCTCTAATTGCTCTACACTATCATTTTCTTTAGTTTTATTTAATCTGCAGTTACTGTATCTGTATAATTCAATTTCCTGTACTGTTTAAACCAATATATAACAATACAAATACAGATTTCTCATCTTAATCTTTGTTCTTGTTCAATAATTATGTGTCACTGATCTGGGTTCCTATGAGAACACCTTGAAATGCAGAAGAAGGGATTACATTTTTGTCTGGTTTTGATGGTATCCCTTGTCATCATCTCTTTGTTACTTATTCCTGCTTGGAGGTACAATATATCCAAGCAGAGGTTCATGGTTAATTTTCCTTGCTTTACCAGGAAATTTAGTAAATCTACGGAGGATATGTTCTTTGTCATCTTTTTTCACTCTTTCTTTCATAATAACGGTTGAGAAATATAATCCTATATTGGTTGTAAGGACAACTAATGTGAGGTTTATAAGGCCTTGGGCACTCCCACCCTTTGAGCTATCTTTTGGGGTGGTGTATCCCAAGGTTCTTTACATGGTATCAGAGCGTTCGAACTCTCACTGTCTCCCATTTTCTTTGTAGTGGAATTTCCACATGTAGGTGGGCTTGTATGTTGTCCACCCTTCAAGCCCAGTGGGCTCTCGTGTGAGGAGGCGTGTTGAGAAATATAGTCCCACATTGGTTGTATGGGCAACTAATGTGAGGTTTATAAGGCCTTGGGCACTCCCACCCTTTGAGCTAGCTTTTGGGGTGGTGTATCTCAAGGTTCTTTACATGGTATCAGAGCGTTCGAAATCTCACTGTCTCCCACTTTCTTTGTAGTGGAATTTCCACATGTAGGTGGGCTTGTATGTTGTCCACCCTTCAAGCCCAGTGGGCTCTCCGCCCTTTTGTCAGCTTTTGTCATCTTTTTACATGGTATCAAAGCATCGCCGCCCTCCACTTTCTCTTGTGGAATTTCTTCGCACAGGAAAGCTGAGACTGTTGCATCATCCACTCTTCAAGTCCCAATGGGCTCTTGTGTGAGGTGGCGTGTTGAGATATATAGTCCCACATTGGTTGTATGTGCAACTAATGTGGTCTCTATAAGGCCTTGGGCACTCCCACCATTTGAGCTAGCTTTTGGGGTGGTGACCTCAAGGTTCTTAACATGGTATCAGAGCGTTTTGTAATGGAATTTCCACATGTAGGTGGGCTTGTATGTTGTCCAACCTTCAAGCCCAGTGGACTCTCGTGTGAGGGGGCGTGTTGAGATATATAGTCCCACATTGGTTGTATGGGCAACTAATGTGAGGTTTATAAGGCCTTGGACACTCCTACCCTTTGAGCTAGCTTTTGTCATCTTTTTTCATAATAACCAATTAAAAAGATAATTTGTCTCCAAGACTAGATGCGGATTTTAGAAGAAAAAAATAAAAAATAAAATTGTACTTTAAAAAAGAGCAAATGCTAGCCCCACATCCATTGAATTTAAGTTTAAGATTGAGAAGTCTTTTCCTAATGGGTGGATCACTGTGTATCTAATTAATCCATGAAATTGAAATTCAAGTACGAAACAATTTGGGGTGACAAAAGTACATTGTTTTATTTTAAATATGGGTTTATATCTATCATTTAATATGACCACAAAAAATTTCCTACACACACAATATTTTGTGGGACCAGCATGTTTTGAAAAAAAAAAAACTACAGCACGCAAAACGAATCTCTATAACATAACACAATCATCTTTCCTACAACATAACTCTTATAAAACCCTTTAAATATATATGTTGTATGATAAATGTTTTCTCATATTGTGATTCTTTAATCTGCATACAAAGCTTTTTTAATAAGTATGAGGCTTATCATTAGTTGAGTCACAGTATGAGAAAACATTTCTCATATAACATGAGAAGTGTTTAACCCAATTTATATACATGCTGCCTGCCAGAAATCAAATAGGAAAATAGTTTTCTCATTTTACATAAGAAATTTTTTTCATATTACATTCACAATTAAAAGGTGGATTCCATCCTGATTTTTTTGTCTTCTCACTTTTTTGTGAACCTCACTCATATATTGTATGTGTAACATGAAAAAATATTCTTATATAAAATTATTCTCAAGTAAAATGAGAAAATTAATCTCCAATAAAATATGCATACAAATTCTATGAATCCCTTTCGCTTAATACAAATTGTACAGGTGAAACAATACATGCCTCGTAGCACAATTGATGGCTGGTACGGAAAAACTCTAGTTCCTTCAACTCAATGGCATTTTTGTTAGGTATGGCTCCTATACTGATAAGGATCTTTGTTGGCAGGATCAGTAAAAAATCAACTGACAGTTAGGTAAATATAATAGAAATAAGCTGAATATAGCTTACATTGAGTGAACCAGAATAATTTATTCTATCGATTTCTCTCTTCCTTATTTCTTTTCATTTTTTTAATTTGTGTGTTTCCATTTCCAACAACTTTGTCACTTCAGAATATGCACATAGTAAGAGTATTTAGGTCCTACAACTGATGAAGAATCCATGAAAAATCATAGGCATGCTCAACCGGGTCAAGCAGAGCATTAATGACATTTGACTTTGATGCCATTTCTGCCGAACTTGGATTTGTAATTGAGCTACTGAATATATAGAACCTCGTCCAAATGATACCACTTCCGTCGAGTCAAGGCATTCGATTATTACCGAGAATACACCCACATATAAAGAAGATATATTAAGTAGCAGCACTGCTACGTAATTAATATAAATAGCAAAGATCGCGGCAAATCAGTTAGCAGAATATGAAGCATTCCTAACGTTACCATCATCACCAAATTCAATAAACTCTTGTTCATGAAAATCTGACCTCACGTATGGTCTATCTCTTATTCAGCTCCATCGTCCAATATAATAATAGCAATAGTAGTTGAAGCTTGATAAGTGCCTGAACATAAAGGAGCTAAGTAATAATGGTGTATAGTCAAGGTCGAATAGGTGCACCTATATATGACAACTCCATGGCAAGAGGAAAGAAGGACCACGAAAACCATGTGCCTAGCTCTGAGACCCTAACATGGTTGCAGTCGTAATCCACGCTGCCCTATCACATTAAAAGGCCACGCAATGAACCAGTTGTCACTCCTCTTATTCCATCCTTCCATGACCTATTTTGGCAAATAATATGGGCTACGCCTGCAGGCCACTCAATAGTTGCTTTGCTTACCATATTTTGATGTACTTGCCCATCCCTTTGGACCATTTCCCTCGCATTCCTTCTCCCTGGTGCGTTTTATTTTTTACCCTCCTATATTCCTATATATATAAACTCACATGATGGACAACAAAGCGTGTACGTTGAATATACACATACAAGGAAATTGGTCGGTCGCTTGTTTATTAATGTTTGGCACTTCACTTTATCAAATATAAATTATCAATAACTAATATATGTTGTACTAGTATTTCGAATTAGAACATTATGTGAAATACGATAAGAGTGAACATGAATCCGCGTCGGTGGAAATCAACATGTACCGTGGTAATGGAGTGATTATTGGCTTGCTCTGTTTGAAATGAGGCAATCGGCATCATGCTCACACTAGCACACCAAGAGTTAAGGGACCCACCCACCTGCATCATCAATATCCAAACCACCACCAACATCATTCTCACCAGATCCATGATTCGTGACCAAGACCCACGGAGCCAGAGCAATCATCACCCTCTCCATGCACATTACATAATGGTAGTTGAGTTGATACTCCACTATCTATGCACCCTATCTAACTAAATCTTCAACACCACGCCGTCCTGATTATTAATTAGTTTGCTTGGCCTTCAGCTCTGGAATTGGCTACTAATGAGACTTGGCCAAGTCACTAGGAAAGGACCAAAATAAGCCACCACAATAAAACACGACCTAACCGACTCCTCACATCACATTCTTGTCTTTGTCCCCCAAACCCACGTGTCTCCCCTTCGTATTCACAACCTTCCTCTCACGCGGACTCATCATCGCGCATGCAACAGGTCACTATCATGTAAGCCCCACTCCTCAACATGCCCTCTCCCTCCGAAATTTCTTACTTATAATTGTCTTCTGATTATGTGAAATCTTATAAATAAAATCCACACATCAGACAAGACCCGCATAAATTAGATAATACTAATAACTTGAATGAAAAAGGAGATAGAGTTTACAATTTATCATCTAAGCAATAATGTCTTCTTCCTCGTCCAAACAAACTTAAACAAGCTCCTAATTATAATATATATTAATATCCCTACATCAGCTTCATGGTTCCTTTATTTATGATTAATTAAAGCGCTGCCATAATCGTATCCGCTAATTAAAACAGTATGGAAGGATTAGCATCTCAAAAACAAACCAGAATAAGATTGCAAACCTAAACCGACCAACCAAATTAATAATTACCGACGATCGATATTAATAAAACACAGCTGCTATATTTTCTGTTTCTCTAATCAATCCAATTCCACATACATATATATTATAAAACACGAAAACCGAAAATAAAAGAAAAAGAAAAATCAGATAGAGAAACTAACATGGAAGTTAGTTGTGCATGCACATCACCCAATTAAAATCAAGCTCATCACCTCCCAAATTTATAAATACAAAAAAAAAAAAAAAAAAAAACAATATACAACTCAGTGATTAATTAATTATACGATATCCTTCCTTCCTTCTCTTTCAAATTCTTTACTTTGGTTTTGATTTCAAACTTTCTTTGCTCTTTATCAGGTTAAATTTTATAATAAATAAAAAAGGGGTAAAAAAGAAAAAAAAAAGTGAGAGCCATTTTCAAGGAAGATGAAAGAGAGTAGAACTGTCCTGATCAGCCCAGTGAGTGTGAGACCAGTAAGGCTGATCAACGGTGTTAGAAAGATCAAACAAACCTTGATCAGCACCACCTTGCCAATCCAACGGTCCAAATCCTCCGTGACCGGTTTTATTTTGCAGCACCGACAAATCAACCGGAAGAGTACTATGATCAAGCAAGGAACCAGCACCGAGATTCTCCGGAAGCTTCAATTCCTCTTCATGATGATGATGATGATGATGATGATGAAGAAGATTATGATCACCGCTCATGGTCATCACCTTCTGGTGCTGCCACTGAAACGACGACGCATCTGGCATAGTACTGTTACCGAATCCAAACGCCAATGCCTCGTTGGACGAAGTGATCAAGTTCGTGAAGGTTCCAATCTCAGAGAAAATACCGCAGTCCCCTGCTCCCTGTTCCAACGCACCAGTCTCAAAACCAGGGTTTGATGTGATCAACACGTTGTTGTTTGAATCGGAGTTTAAAGTCGGCGCCGACACAGCCTCCGTTGCCGCGGCGATGGTGTTGGCGGCGGTGAGGCTGGAACTCTCACTGCTGGAATGAGAGTTCGACTTGTTCTCCTGCTCCGGCGGCTGCACCGATGTGGTTGGCGCAGCGGCGGCTTCGGAGGAGGAGGATGAGTTGTTCTTGGGCTTATTAGAGCGCTTTGATTTGCGACAACCGCCACCGACGGGGACGTTGCGGAGGACGCCGCCCTTGGTCCAGTATCGACGGCAGTTTTTGCAAAAGTGGCGAGGCTGTGAGAGGTTGTAGTTGTTGTAGTAACAGAACTTGGTGTTGAGTGAATCACAGCGTGGACACTTCAAAGCCTGGTGATTCTGCTGGTGGTTGTGGTGGTGAGGTCTGAGCCTCCTGTCTCCTCCGCCGCCGCTTCCGCCGCCGAAGAACCGGCCTCCTCCGATGGAATGTATTTCCTGCATTTCGCCGAGGGCCTCCAACTCGTAAATTTGAGAAATGAGGTTTTTAGTTTTGTTGTGTGATGAATAATATGAATAATAAGATGAGATGAGATCACCTGGGGGTGTGTGTATAGAGAGAGTGTGTGTGTATGTGTGTCAGTGTGTTAAGTGGGTGTATGGAGAAGAAGTAATAGGAGGAAGTTCCAAAGGGGATTCTGAGTCTGACTGACAAATATCCCTCCAATGTACTCTATCCTCCGTTTTCTAATATTTTCACTGTGAATTGACCCAACCATCCCTTTATCATTCCTATAATTACACTCTCACACCCTACTCACTTGTTTCAAAATACCAAAATACCCCTACTTTGATTGTGGGAGGAAACTGGTGCTGTTGTTCTGTAGCGCTCATGCTCACTTTATCATCAATTTACTTTTTATTTTTATTTTTTAAACTGATTCTAATTATCCCGTGAATCAGAATTTTTCGGTATTTTAATGAATTCGAGTTTTTGAGTTGCTTATTAGACTAATCTAGAGTTTGGATGTGAGTCCAAAGATTATGATACTTATGTCCCTTTCCAGATAGTATTGGTGGTTCCCAGATAGTGTTGGTGGAATTCGAATCGAGATCTTCTCTTACCACTCAGTCCTTATGCTACCCACTACACTTCCATAATTTACTTTTTTTAGAATTGTCAATTTCCGTACTTGTCAATCAGTCTTCATAAACTCAGACTGATATTCTGATCATGGATTACTTGGATATTATTCTAATTAGTGAGTCGTAATTAAATTATTTATTTAATAGCTTAAATTAATAAGAAATATTTTTCTTATGTTGTTAGAGATAATTATCTTATATTAGTGAAACAAAATTATAAGAGAGACTCACAAATAATTGGAGAGAAAAAAAAAACAGAGGTGAGACCCACCTTTGTTATATGTATGTAGAAATTTGATTTATCTCATGTTGAATCTGATATACATAATGTTACGCAAATATTAAATAAACGGTTATCCTTTTATATATATATATATAAGTAATAAATATCATATTAGTTAGGACTATCAAAATAAGTGCATAATTGTATAATTTAGGACACAAACAAAATTTATGAGTGGAACTGTCTTTAAAAATTTTGTATAACATTTCGAAAAATGGTTCAATCTTCAAAATTTGTGCCAGTCTAATATCGTTCAACTTTTTTTCTTTTTTTTGGTAAACAATATCGTTCAACTTAATTTAGTACCAGTTCACTGGTTTTTAAATCAATTTATTATTTAACAGGTGAATTATTTGGAATAGATCGTTGATGGCCCAGTATCTAATTTTAATAAAAATACCCTTATACAGATATCACGAAGTTTTATGTTTTAATTGGAGAGCGTTAACGTTATACTTTTAAATATTTGTTTCTAGCATTCATTCATCATTGAGTGAAATTTTACGTAAATTTCATTTACATAATATGAACACACTTTTTATTAATAATATTAGTATAAATTTTATTTTATAATTAAAAAAATTAGAAATATATCATATCACATATTATTAGCATTTTATATGAATATATTCATAAGTTATTTTGAATAGTAAATAATTTTATTGACATTTTTTTTGGTATCCTATTGACATTTAAATTACTTACACTTTTACTTATTCAATAAAAATAATTCAATTTACTTGTATTCTGTTATAATTAAAAGGATAAAAAAATAGTTTATTATAAATTTGTAGTTTGAAAACTTTATTAAAATACGAAATAATAGTAAATATGTGTGATTTATTCATTAAATTATAAATAAGATGATAAAAATATTACAACATGTAAAATAAAATACCAATTACGGTAAAAAAAAAACTAATACATATTTATAAATAACCTATAAACTAAGAATTTACTTTACTTTTTATTATTTTTTGTGATATATTTTGAAAATTTCATTTGCTAATTGAAATTATGTATATTAAATATTATTTGATTTTACTATAAGTCAAATTATTTAGGATTAATAATAATAAAGAGAAATAGTAAGAAAGTTATATTTTTACTAGAACAAAACATAAGTTGTATTTTTTATTAAAATTAATTTGAAACTTGTTAATCTCTACACAAAATATATAAGCAATTCTCTTATTAAGGTTTAATGTTTCTTTTTTTATTAGAGATAAATTTATCTCTTGTTATCTGAAAACGAGGCCATTTTATAATTGGGTTGGAATAAAATATAATAATAAATACTACCCCAAATTTAATTAAAATTATAAAAAAAAAATCTCTAAACCTCAAAATAACATCGTATTAATCTAGAGAAATATTAAACTCTTATTATTTATATATTATAACTAAATATAATTATATTGGTTTATTGAAAGAAGATATTTTTTCGTACTAAAAGAAGATATTTTCAGTTGAGACAATTATATTTAAAAATTAACTTCCTTTGTATGTATACAAATTTATAACGTCTATTAAACTTTCAGTTAATGATTTAAAATTGAAGCTTGAGTAAAACATGTTATGCGTGTAAAAACACATGCTAAGTAAGTTACGGAAGCTTCCAACTTCTAAGATGATTCACTTTTAATATCCTTAACTAAAGTTTTAAATATTTGTTCGATCAAATCCTTGATTAAATTGTATGTTGATTGATCTCAATACCATCATCTACAATGAATGAATTGCCCGATACCCAAATTTTGAGTAGTCTTTTTTAGTTTAATTTTGATAAATGATTTGTATAAGTTTTTCATATTATTCAACTTTGCATTAACATAATATTCATGAATTTATTATATTATAAACATTTGAGATGTGATCTAATAATAACATATAATATATCATTAAACAACAATACAAAAAATCTACAATTTGTTTACCAAATGCATTTAATAAGCAAAAGAGAAAAAAATTGATGAAATTAAAATAGATATTATCAAGATTATAGGATTATTATTAAGAGAAAAGTTATACTTATTATCATTTTAGTCTTGTTTCTCTTAATATTTGATTAGTCACGGTTGAATCAATTTAAAATTAACGATAATAATTTTTTCTTATTTTTGTATTATTAATTTTAAATTAACTCAATAATAATCAATCAAATAAATCAAAATAATAAATCTAAGATAATATTAAGTATAACTATCCTAGAGAGTTGAAGTTGACGAGGAAGAAGATTAGAAGAGGGAAAGGGATGGAGCGTACTGTGGGCACGTGGAGGGAAGTGAGGGGTGGTTGAGAGGTGTAATCCACAAAACCAGTTGTCGCGTTGTCTTGTCGGCCACCCTCGTAATCGTATATTTGATATGTGCAATATCTATCCATAATTGGTTTGCTGTGTGTAACAAATGGTGCAGCCGCACCCACGTTCCCTTTTTCTATTGGTAGAATGTCTTATTTCCATTATGTGAACATCGCATCTCACTGTACGTAGTACCACCGTAACTGCTGCTTTTCTTGTCCGCTTCTATTCTTTGTTTTTATTTATTTATCAGGAACTAATCTCCACGTAAATTCAGGGTTATTTTTTTCTTTTAATAACCTGTATCCTCGCTTGACATGGACATAGTTGCGAGTAGGGGTGTAAACGGGTCTGAAATGGGTTTTGGCGTTTTACGTAAAAAAAATATTCAATTTATCTGACTTATTAGCCTACAAAATACTTTATTTATAGGCCAAATTTGACTTATTTTTAAAAGTTAGAGAGCCTTATATGGCCTACTAGCGTTGTAGGCCTCCTTAGTGAAATAATTTTAAAAAAATTTAAAAATATTTTAACAATTTTTAAAATATTCGCCTCTCATTACAAGTTATTAACATGTTCATAAATTGTTGCATTTTTTTATACGAGATATAAATTTCACTAGTGAGCATTAAAATTTTTACAATATTAAAAAAAATAACTATAAAAATATACTGAGCAAAATTCTATTTATGAATGCACTAATTCATAAAAAATGACAAATAAGAAAGAGTCAATATAATACCTCAGCTCTATAATGTATATCATATACCCTAAAATAAATATTTTATTTTATTTTATTTTAAAAAATTAAATAAGCCAGCCTACAAAGTTTTAGGGCTTGACAAAATTGACATATAACCTACTTGTTAAAAAAGCTTTTCTATAAGCTTAAGCCTACTCTACTTTTCGACGTAAACCGAGCTTGACCAGGCCAGCCTGACTCATTTACCCCCCTAATTGCGAGGTTAATTTCCCGTAATAATCAAGTGAAAATCTTTTCATAGTGACGTTTAATGGGAAAATTATTGAAGGCATTCAAAGCGTCGTTAAAGATTGTGTTTATTTTATTTATCGTAACTTCATTATTAATAAAATTTACTGTTTATTGTTATATCTATTATTATAGTTTTATTTTTTTGAGCAAATAATATATAGAGTTTGCATTTGTCATTTAACATGACACAACAAACTTTCCTACACACACAACATTTTGTGGGGCCCACACTTTTTGAATGAAAAAAAATTAGGGCACGCAAAACGAATCTCTATAACATTACACAATCACTTTTCCTACAACATAACTCTTATAAAATACATAATATATATATATATATATATATATATAAATATATATGGGCTTATCATTTCTCAAGCTGACGGAGATAAAGTTATCTCCGACTACTAAATCATAACCGTACAAATCAGATCAATGGTGATAAAGGAAGAGAGAAAAAAAAGATATCATAACCATTCAAAGGTGAATCAATACATATAAAGAAATAAATAATCAAAACGACATAGTCTTGAGGTAGTCGGAGATAAATTTATCTCAAGCAACTTGAGAAATATTTTTCCCATATATATATATAAACAGTGTACCTCATTATTAATTAATTTATATAAAAAGAAAAAATAATTTTGACATGACGTTTTAACCGTATATAATAATTTATCAATCTTTACACGTGCATTTTAAGTACTAATTAATAATACATGTACGTATATTATTTTGAAATTTTTTATATCCCATTTTATTTCCCAATGATAAAATTCAAAATGCATATTTAATTACACATTCATTCTCTCTCTCTCTATATATATATAAGAGAGAGAAAGAGAATATATATACAGATAGAGAGAGATGATTTGATATTGGTGAACATGTAAAGCTTCATTGTTTAATTGAAATAATTTATTTAAAACTTCAAATAATTTATAATTAAGTTTTATTTGAATCATTAACAAATATATACTTTTATTGTGAATTAAACAAATTCGAACGTTACTTATT